GCGTCCAGCAGCAGCTCCTGCGGAAGCGCCGAGTACCCCGGGGAGGCCATCCCCCACCACCCGGGTGAGCGCGGGGCCCTCCGCGCGCGGCTGGCGCCCACTCCCGTGGGGGGAGCGTGGGGCCGCACCTGGGCGACGGTGTCGTCACCCCACTCTTGCCTTCAGGTCTCCCCAAGGCCGACCCAGGTCACTGGTGGGCTAGCTTCTTCTTCGGGAAGCCCACTGCCCCGTTCATGGCCACAGTTCTGGAGTCCGCGGAGCAGTGAGTGCACCCGCTCCCGGGGCGGGGGCGGGCCGGGCCGGGCTGGGTTGAGGGTGAAAGGGAGGCAGTTTCCGACCCACTGACCCGTCCTCTCTCCAGCCCGGAGTCCCCGCAGGCTCCCAGCAGCGTGGTCCCCGGTGGCCTGGCTTCAGAAGCCGCAAGGAAGCAGCCGCTCAGCCAGGCCAGTCAGGCCAACACCAGGCCCTCGTCCTAACCTGGCCGTGCCACCAGCCCAGGTTTCCCAGCTGCCAGGCTGGAACCCTGCCCACCGACCCCACCCTGTAGACTAGGCAGGCTACAGCAGGTGAACACACCAGAACACCAGCCACCAGCAAGAGGCTAGAGACTTCTGCTCTCCAGGCTGCACTGAGCTCTCCTAACTCTCCTACAGCACGAAATAAACTGCAAGCAGCCACAGCCCGGATGGTGTGTCAGATGTTACTGAGTCCCTGCTGGCCTCACTTCCTGTTGGGGGCTGGTCCTGTTCCCTGGGGGCCTCCTGACATCTGGTGAGGTGTCCTGGGCAAGGGGTGGGGTGCCTGGGAGGGCAGGTGCCTCCACCGCACAACCTGAACTGCAATTGGCCACCGGGGAGGCTGGAGCTCTCCCTGTGAGTGTAGGAGCCCTCAGCTGGAGGGAACCCAGCCTCTCTTGAAGGACCCCCTTGACAGAGCCCTCCTTAGCTCCAGGGAGGGAGATGGGGTGGGCAGGACTAAGGACAGGCTAAGGGGTAGGGGCCTCAGGACACTCAGGGCCTTCCTATCACAGGTGCCCAGCTTGCAGGTCAGAAGAAAGGGAGAGTGGCTTGAGGCCAGCAGGGTGGGAGGGGCCTCATTAGTGGGGCCAGGGCCATGGTGGATTTCCTTAGGCCTTTCTGCCACCCTGCCCCACTATGAAATAAATAGCTGAAGGTCCGTGGAAAGCTCCGTGCAGCCTGAGCCACTCGCCTGATTCCCTTGATATCCAGATGGCCTGCGGAGTGGGGAGCCTCACTCACTCCTAAGCGAGGAGGCCCCTTCCTACCTGGGGTGGATGCCTGAGGGGGATGGTACTTCAAGGGGTGTGCTGAGCCCCACTTGTTACTTCTAGCCAGTGTCCCCACAAGACCTCCAGAGCTGCTGATTCTCTGAGCAGGATGCTGGGACAGCTGCCTGGGTCCTGGGCAGCACCCAGCGGATGTCCACTGCCCATTCACCCTGCTGCCTCCTCTGCACTGTTGTCCGCAAACGCTAGGGGTTGAGCAGGGAGCCTGGGTGTGAAGGGAGAGTCTGGTCAGAATTAAGGCCCTACCACACTCACCTCCCGGGCACGGGCTCAGGCTTCCTCTTGATTTAACTGATAGGCTTTTGGTTAGGACCAAGGATGGGTCTGCTCCAGAGTACTTCAGGGTTGGAGTCAGCTGCTGAGGGTGCAGTGTTGGGCCAGGATTGCACGCTATCTGGGAGCTGATGTCCTCGCTGGCGCAACCTCAGCCCTCACCCTGCATCAAGCCCTCCTGCCTCAGGAGGGGACCGATGTGTGGCCAGAGGGGCACTTTTAATGGTCTTGAGGCAGCCTGACATGGAGCTGCTCCCTGGGATCCCCACAAAGCTTCACTCCAGAGATCCTTGGCACAAACGACAGTTGAGGAGAGATAAGCATACAAGTTCATACAGATGATACAAATTCTACATGACACAGGGTCCTGAGCATGGAGACAGAAAACCGCAGGAGAATCTCTAGCTCTTACCCAAGATACTTGACCAGAAATGCTTGAGATGTCAAAACCTAGACTTGGATTTTGGGATAGTTGCATTGACTATTGGTTAAGCATCTCTGATCTGGAAATTCAAAATCCTAAATGCTCCAAAACTCAAAGCACTTGAGAATCTGAAGCTTTTTGAATTCTAGCTTTGGGTATAGGACTGGACCTGTTCACAGGGTGGTCTTCTGCGAGAAAGGAAGAAGGCCAGAAGCTGGCTCTCCTGTGCTTTGTGGCCTGCTCCAGGAAGGAAGCCGGCAGGGAGTGTGGCCATCTTGCTTCCGCTGGTTGTTTATGAGACAGGCTGTTTGCTGCTTGTCGTCTGCCCCTTGGCACTCCCCTGTTGGGAACTTCCCCATGAAGTTTCACAGTCTGGGAACGGTTGGTGGGTGGAGTAAGTTGTCCAAGTCAGACCTGGGAACAGGTCAGTGCAGTGAGAGGGCAACAGACCTGTCTTGTTTCCTGATGTGCTGGGCTTCCGCTGAAGCTGGGTCCTGTGTGAGGTATCCAGTCAGGTGTTGAGTGAGGGCAACCACATGGGATTTCTTGAGATTGGGCCTGTGACAGGTGGGTGAGGCAGGCAGGAGCCTATGATAGTGCTTTGATCTGCAGCTGGAATGCCGCAGAGGTCCCCTGTGGGAGTTGCAGTGGCCCCTAGAGTGTTTACCAGTTGCCCAACTGTAGTTTACAGGGCCCCAGGAAAAGGGCAGTTCCCACTTTTAGTGATTCCAGCTTGGATGGGTGGAAAAAAAGCCGGAAATCATAGTGGTAGCCAGGTGTTGGAGGGAATGAGCTCAGGCTTCAGTCTGGATTGCAGGTGAGTTGACAGCAAAAGCCGACTCATCAGGACTGGCCAGTGCCAGTGCAGTGCAGTCCTGAAGCCCCGTTTCTCCCCAAGTCCTCCATTTCTATCAAAGGAGGGCTGAATTGCTACCTAAATAAATCTTGTCTCTTAAAGTGTGGCCTGGTTACTTACATAAGTGCAGCAGGAGTAGATGACCCACACTGGGTGTGCCTTGCTGCAACTTCACGTGGAATTTCAGACTTATAAACATTTCTTGAGACTGAGTGTCATAAATCACAAGTTTGAGGACAATCTGGGCTACACAATGAGATTCTGTCTCAAGAAAATTAAAAAAAAAAAAAAAAAAGGTCCTTGAGGCTCGGAAGCCATGTAGCATACACCACCAGATTTTGCCTGCAGTGTCTCACTTGGGTAAGTTTTCCCTTTTCCAGTTCCTGCTCCAAGTATCTCAGGCTTCCTGGGCTTGTGTGATGCAGCATCCTTTCCATTAAGACAGTCATGTACTGAGGTACCCGGCCATTCTTCCAAGGGCCTTTATTCCATGTGAAGTCCACCTTAGTTCTAACCTAGTCTGAAAACAGGACATTGCAGTGGCAGTAATGCAGCTAGTGTTTCTAGTTGTCTTATTACAAGGAAAACAAATTCTTGTAGAACTTGTGCAAGTAACTATGTTGCCATTAAAATAAGATTAGTAATAGCTTGTGAATTCTGAAAGGGTCAGGAAGAGGGAGAAAGATTGTTTCATCTTTGCTCACAAAGGCATATATTACAATTTCTAGTCCACCAGCAGGGCTTGGCCAGGGAGTTAAAGCCAGGGCATGGTATGCTAAGCGAGCTCACTTCCACTGAGCTACCTCTCCAGCCAAAGAACCAGCAGTTTTAAAAAGTGAATTATCGGGCCGGGGATATAGCTCAGCAGCATAAGCGCCTGCCTGGCAAGCGCAGGGTTGCAAGGTCGCAAGGTCCTGAGTTCGATTCCCAGCACCAAAAAAAAAGTGAATTGGCTTCATCAGTTCAGTGAGTCCCAGGCAGTGAATTCTTGTTCTGACTGACTTTGGAATAACAGCAAGCCCCTCTGTCTCTTCACTGGGTTCTAGAACCTCTCACCAGGGCCGGGGGTGGGGGGTCCCTTAGGTGAACAGAAACCTGTTTCTTTGCACCTGTTGGTCTTCCATGAGTCCTTGAAGGAGCAGTAATTTGGGACTATAGCTGATTGCAAATGCTATAATTTAACAAAGTAAAATAAGAGTGAACAAGAAAATACTTAGAGTCATGATTATGAAGTTTTACTAATGGTGCACTTGACAATGACTTTTGGTTCTTTCTGTCTCATGCAGCATTTTACAGTAATAACTGATGCCTGGTTGCATACCAGGACCTACCAATTTCTAGGAGTTTTATACGATTTGAGCAACACTCATACCAACACCCATAAACATAACCCAAAGGAAGTGAGCATTGCTTTATTGACTGCTTCCTAAATATTAACACATCAAATCTAGCTTCATTTCCCTTTTTATAAGATGACACCATCTTTCGAGACAATTCCAGTTCATAGTTATGAACAAAACTTGGCCCTTTTAATAGTAAGGTCTTTCAGTAGTGAAAAGACCTACTAAAAGATACATAAAACACAAGAAATTATGTTGAAGCACAATCTTTGTTTCCTAGGCTGAGTACCTAAAAGACAGGGAAGAGCCTTTTATGATGCCAAAGTCCAGTTTTGTACCAGTGTACTGTTAATGCTAAAGCTAATTTTAAGAACCTTATCTGTAAGCCCATGCAATTTTAGTCAGCTTTAAATATGTGAGAGAAGATTCCCTTTCCACAGACACTGTATCTTTTTTAAAAAAAAAATCCATCAGCTTTTTTTTCTTCCTACATTTTTCTTGTTCATATTCTGTCAGCCATTTTATTTTAATGTAGAATTAACTTCTTCATGAAGTAGTTGCTGAAACATCCTTTATACCTTAAACCTCTCCTGTATATCTTACAACTTTGCCTCATTTTCCTTGTATACTTCACACACAGACTTGTGTCCTGTGTTACTTCTTTTTTTTTTTTTTTGGTTTTTCCTCCGGTACCAGGAACCGAACTCACGACCTTGTGCTTGCCAGGCAGGCGCTTTGCCGCTGAGCTAAATCCCCAGCCCCTCCTGTGTTATTTCTGATGGTTAATTACATGTGTTATTTATAGTTTCTAGTGAAAACTAGGAAGTAAGCACCTGTGAACTGTGACCCCAGCATTCACGTCACGGGCACCATTTTGTCATTTGTAGAAATACCGTCTACCCTTCCCACCCTCGCTTCCTCTCCTTCTCCTGCACGTTCAGCTCTTGGGTTAGACTTTGCTTTTGAGACAAGGTTTCCATGTGCAGACTGGGCTGGCCCTGAACTCAGGGTCCTCCGGCCTCTGCCTTCCAAGGGAACAGCACGCACCGCACACCCTGCTAGTTTTATGATCTTAAACATCCAGTAAAATTAACATAAGCTTGTTGACTAAACCCAGGTAGAAAAAAAAGCTTATCTGCATTGTAGTTAATACAATTTTGAAGGCATTCCTATTTTTGTATGTGGTTTGTTTTTTTGTCTTTTTGGTACTGAGGGTCGAACTCAGGACCTAGCACTTGGCAGTCAGGTGCTTGTGCTGCTGACCTATATCCCCTGCCCAGCATTCCTATTTTTATTTTACCAACATTTTTTTTTTTTTTGAACCGGGAATTGAACTCAGGAGCTTGCACTTGCCAGACAGGCGCCTTTGCCACTGAGCTATATCCCCAGCCCACCAACATTCTTAAAATTAGTTTTATTTACCAAAGATAGTTCCAGGTCATGGGAACATTTGACTTAGTTTCTATATTTCTGAGTTTCAGAATAATATGAGCACTTATTTATCTCTAGGTCAATCTAAATAGAACTTAAGGCATTTTGTAAATTAATTTGCTAATGCCCTCAGGAGGTGGGCAGATGCCACACTACAACTGTGTGCACCAGCATGCACGTCTCCACAGACAGATTCCCGCAGAGCCCACAGCCCCCTTTTCAGAATGTTTAGTCCCAAGTCAGCAAAGCGGGAACATGGTTTCTTTCTATTTGTGTCTTTATCCAAATCCAAGAATGAGAGGCTCAGCGTAGTACTGCTGATGTTTGGAGGAAGACTTCTAATGAGGAAGGAAAGGGATAGTAGGAGCTGTACGTTTTGGAGTCACAAGGATAACAGTGGAGCTCGGGAGTGCAGGGACATCCTGAGCAGAAATGGACACACTTACTCTTTTTCATGGGTTTTTGCAGTGTTATATACATAATTTCCTCGACATGTAAATGTATCAACCACTGCTCACTTAATGGGGGATAATTCTGGCAATAGAAGGTTCACATTGTTCTCTCCTGTCATTTTTCAGCTGCATTTGAAAGGGGAGTGCAACAATTTATTATTTATCATTATACAGATTTAATTGGTTTATGCCAAAAAAAAAAAACACTTCTAAGATTTTTCATTCCCCCAGTTTCCAAATAGTTCCTTTTGTGTTCTCCAATGACAGTCACTTCCCTGAAGTTTGTGTTTCCAAGAGGTAACTATCAGGTTTTAGAGAGGGCAGAAATTTTTCATCTCAAAGGCACAGAGAAAATGCTTTTCTCAAGAGGGGGAGTCTGGGTGTATTTGCCGAATATTGGAGGTCTGTGACAGGGAGGCCGTTGACCGCTTCCATGGCTGGGAGCCGTCTGGAGAGGTCGTTGTGCCCACCTCCACTCACTTCTTTCCTCATCAGCCTCAGCAGCTTTTGGGGACCCCGGGCCTCTAGCGAACACGTGTCCTGAGGTCTGAGTGCATGAGGAGCTTGTAGGGAGAGGGACAGGAAGGGTCTGAGGACCGGGAGGGATGACACAGAGGTGCGGGGAGGGGAAAGCTCGGGGGAGCCCATAAGCTCCAGAGGAGAGGGCAAGGACGGCCAGAGCTCTGTTCCGCGGGACTAGAGGGCCGAAGCAGTCCAGTGCGGGAAGAGAGGCCTCAGAGATCACACTGCAGCCCAAACGTAGGCCCCCAGGCAGGCTGGCCTCTGACTAGCGAGCTCGAAGAGTCTTTCAAGTGTTCCTTAGGAGCTTTCACTGGGACGAGCAGCAAGTACTGTTGGCACCGCTGGGCTCCTTTTCTTCTTCCTTGAAACCAGAGCCCTCTCACCAGCAAGATCAAACTCGGAAGTCCTTTACGGCATCATCACAGCCGAGAGTTGCTGAATGAGCAGTGGGAGGTTGGATCTGCATCCCCAGACAGTGTGAGGAGGAGGAGACTGCTGTGGCCACAGGCAGCGAAGCTGGGGCCCCGGCTCGACACAGCCTCTGGCTGGCAGGGACCAAAAAGATGTTCTGACTTCCAAAGACAGGCTCCCAGGACAGAGGGGCCATGGCTGCAGTGTGGGCCATGGGCACCAGAACCAGACTGTCAGCATTTCCTCCTGCTAGCTGGATTTGGAAAGAGGAACACGTTTTCTACCTCCTCTGCCAACTGAACACTATGGGCAGAAGTCAGGAAAGAACCCCCTGTCCCCGCTGTCTCCTCTGCAACTCTGAGGCAAGTGGGTGTCTCAGCCTCCCCTCTTTGGGCCCCGGAAAACATAGGGAGAAAAGTTAGTATCTTTTCCTTGCTCTTGCAAGCTTCACAGTGAGATCGTTCCAACAGGGACAGGTTAACGGAAGAAAAGCAGTCGGAGTCCTTCTGTGTGAGACTTACGCGACTGGACCTTGGGAACGAAAACCCAAAGGAGCAGTAACCCCTTTGGAGGAGCGATGGGCTGGGAGGCAGGCTCCAAGGCAGCAAGCTGGCAAGAACTCAGCAAGTCCTGTGGCTCAGGTCATCCTCCCCCTACCTGTCGCCTGTTGGGAGAAGGACTGGAGAGGAGGCCAGCGAGCGGGGCTGCGCCTGCTTCGAGGGGGTGGGCAATGGGCCCCCTGCTTCTGCTGTTTTCTCTTTTCCACGGTGTGCCGTGTGGCTCCTGCCCCACCATCTCAGTAAGCCAGAGGACAGTGCATGCCCTTGACTGAGGCCCAGGATGGTGGCCCAGGCCTCTCTATTGGCCCCGAGGCGGCTCAGAGCAGGTTCTCATACCTGGCAAGGCCTGAGAGTTTCTCACACAGGGCTTTGAAGCAAGGCCTTTGCTCCGGGTCCCTGCTCCAGCAAGAACACATCAGCCTGTACACATTGGGTGGGCACTCCAGGGGGCAGGGCATGCGGTAGCCGGCATCCACCTTCAGGAAGGCCTCATGGTTGGACATGCCTGTGGCCAGTGGGTGAAAGGTGTGGGACTTCGGGGAGGCTAGTGCCCAACCTCCACCCCAGAAACCCAGCTGCTGCTGCCCCTGCCAGGAAGCCTTCCCTGCAGCTGCCACCACCATGTCCTGGGCATGCTCGCTTCTCCCATGAGCAGCGGCCACAGAAGGTGACTGGGCATGGGAGTGGATGGATGCTCAGTGGACTGTTCAGGGGAGGCCCCCAAGGAAGCTCCTCCCATTGTCCCTGGCGGCCACTGAGGACCTGCCCCCTCTCTACTGCACTGTCTGCCCGTCATCAGGGCTGCTCTGGGGCCGTACCTGGATAGGGTGTCTGACCCCTGCTAAAAATCTCATGGAGAAGGATCCCAAAGGACCAGACGTCAGACTTGATGGAGTAATGCCCTAGAGAGAGCGCTTCAGGGGCCGTCCACTTGTAAGGGATCTTGTGGTTGTGGGAAAGGTAGATGTCCTCCTGCAATCAGACAGTGTGTCAGGCTGCCTGTGTCCCGCAGCCCATGTGCATGCCACATGGACGGCCAGGCACAGAAGTCTGGGTGGGCCTAGGTGCAGCCACAGTGCTCTGATGCCGTCTGACCCACGCCTGCTGCCACCAGAAGCTCTGCTAACCAACGCGTCAGAGGGGCCCATTCCTTGAGACTCGGGCAGGGAGTCCAGTGGCGGGGGGGGGGAACAGGGAGTTGAGGCCGCCAGTGGGCCGGTGTGAGGGTGAAGGGCACCAGGGAGATGTGGACGGGTCACGCCTCTCCTGTCACCGTCGCCCTGTCCGGAGCCCCTCTTCCCCAGGTCGGCTTTGCTGCCCTACCTTGATGAGCCTGGCCAGCCCAAAGTCTCCCACTTTGCAAGTGTTGTTCTCCCCCACGAGGATGTTTCTGGCAGCTAGGTCCCGATGGATATAATTCTGTGACTCCAGGTAGCACATGCCCTTGGCCACCTGTGATGCAATGTCCACCAGTTCGGAAACAGGCAGGGCTTGCTTCTCAGAGTCTGTGGGATGAGCAGAGGCCAGGGTTGGCTGGGCGGGCCGGGACCAAGTCCACATCTGCCGCTGACTCTGCAGGCTCCAGCTCCTCCTTGACTGCAGCAAAGGGCAGCCACCGAGTTTAAAGTTGGGTCAGTGGGCCAGCCCAGCCGTCTGTACTTACAGTCAAGAGCATTGTGAGGCACCCTCTGACAGCAGAAACACTCCAAACGCAGAGAGAGGTGCTGCTTACACCACTGACCACCCCGCCACGGGCTCAGCAGCAGGCGAGGGGCTGGGTGGCCGCAGTGCACCCGTGTGCCAATGGACAGTGCATCTCATCTGCTAAGAATAGCTAATCCCATGGAAAGTGATGTGATGATCAGCTAATTTATTATGTGAAAAGTGCAGGCTACAAGATGTCACATTTCAGTGTTCCAAATATTAGTGACGTGTACATCCGTCCCTAGGCACACAGACGGGTACAGATGTCATTCACCCTGCAGTACACACTTCCTTGTTTCAGTATCTGAAATTATGCATCTCCGCTGGCAGTGGTTTTAGTTTTGGTTTGAAGGAAACCCTGGAGATTCCCAGGTGAGATGGTTTGTGTGTGTGCATGTGCACAGGTGAGTGTGTAAGCACACACGTGTGTAAGCCTGCATGCATGTGCCCATGCATATTCAGACACCACAAAGAAGGCTGAGGGCTCCAGGAGGACCTCACCGCAGCCAGTGCTGTTCTTCTCCGTGGTTTCTTAACTTTTACAATGAGCAGTTGGGTTTATCATATTTTAAGTCATTTCTCTTTACTTCCATTATTATTATTATTATTGATGTTTTTTGAGACAGGGTCTTGCTCTATAGCCCAGGCTGGCCTCAAACTTGCACTCTTCCTGCCTCAGCTCCCAAGGGCTGGGTTTACAGTTGTGTGCCACCTCACGCAGCTCTTAAGTCATTTCTTAGGAAAGTGATGAGTGCATCTGCGCGCTCCCCGCTGCCTGGCATGGTGGGTGATCTGCACTCTAGTTTGGCTTAGCGTGTGTCCACGTGGCCTCCAGCCGGCCTGCATCACCCTGGCCCCCAAGAGGGGCTGAGGCCTCTGTCCACTCACCCCGCAGCAGCTGCAGCAGGCTCCCCTTGGGCATGAGCTCCGTGACGATGTAGACAGGGTCCCCCGCAGAGGCCACAGCATACAGCGCCAGGATGTGCTTGTGCCGCAGCTTCTGCATGGCCTGGATCTCCGACTGGAAGGTGTGCTGGTGAAGGAGATTGTCTGGGGCGGGGGAGCCATGCTCCTGTCACCCACCAGCTGCTCAGAACACGCAGGCCCAGCACCCACCCATGCCGCCAGGGCCTCCACACCAGGCCCTGGGCACCCCAGGTTCCCCAGCGGACCTCACCACACCCTGCCTGCCCACGCCTGCCTGAGCCAGACACTGCCCGGGTCTTCCTGCACCTGGCCCTGGCCCCTGGGGGAATTTTAGGTGAACTCTTCAAGATGTCCAGCTATTTATTTATTTGAATGCCTTTCCAGTTCATTAAGAAATTAAAGTTCCCTTTTATAATAAATGAAGTTAAAATATGTCGGTGCCCAGTGGGTGCTGGGTGGCAGAATTTCAGGGAGGGGCACATTGTCACGCAGAGCCCCACTCACCTCGGGAAATCACCTTAATAGCCACTCGGACCTGGCCTTTCCAGAGCCCTTCGAAGACCTCCCCGAAGTAGCCGGCCCCCAGCTTCCTGCAGAGCGAGAACTCCTCCCGTGGCCTCTCCCAGTTGGCCCAGTGGGGCAGGGGCTCAGCCTCATGCTGGAGGGACAGGACGGGCACGGGGCAGGGCAGAACAGTGGCCTGGCTCCTCCTCGGAAGGGCCTGCTCTGAACCCCACACGTGGAGCCCAATTTCGTCTCAAGCAGAAGGCCATGCTCCAGCTGGGGAGGACTTGCGTGTCCTGTGCGCAGACGCAGCCTCTCCTTGGCCCCCTGGCAGTGACTCCCTTCAGGCTTCCTGAGCCAGGACCCGCTAGGAACAGCGCTGACCTCACCGGCCGGGCTTCAGGCTGCCTCCAACCCACCCCTGCTCTGCACATCCCCCCACTCGACCCTGAGCACCCGAGTCCTGCAGGGGGCGGCCCTACCTTCCAGCAGGGCACGGTCAGCTGCAGGCCATGGGACAGGCTGTGGGCCTTGTGGTAGTCCACGAGTTCCACCAGGCTGGAGAAGGACACTGCCTCGTTTAGGTGCAGCCGGCCGCTCTCGTGCCGCCAGATCCTGTAGTGCCGCACGGCCTGAGAGTCCCGCACTGGGCCAGGCAGCACACAGAGGGAGACGTGAGCAGCAGCCCAGCCCCGCCGCAGCCGCCAGCCCACTCGTGGACCCTCCCTCCCCAGGCTGCAGTGCCCAGCGTCTGCCGCAGCCCTGGCCACACTGAGACCTGGGGCACCCACACGCTGCAGGGACTGTTCACACCCAGGCCAGGGCACTTATGGGCTCCGTGCTTCATGAGACGGGCTGTGGGCAAGGCTGGCAGGAGAGAACCCCAAAGGGGCCACCCTGGTTTTCCACTCTGGCTTCTGCCACAGAGAGCCATGCTGGGTGGCCCACACCCATGCAGAGGGATCAGAACTCCTAGCAAGAGCCAGGTGTCTGGACCTCACAGTCAGCGGGCCCAGCCCACCATGTGTCTAGAGGGACCTGGGCACACAGAGGCCCACCAAGGCATGGGCAGATGGGGATGAGCCAGAAGGCCGTACCAGAGAGAACATAGTCAGCACCCGACTTCTCGCTGACCCGGACCAAGAAGGTGCCCGGTGAGCTGCTCTCTGCCTGCAGCCGGTGTGTTGCTTCGGAGCGGGAGATGTGGCCAAAGAACCACCTGCAGAGGAGGGGCAGCCTGAGCCAGAGCTCACCCCCACCCAGCTCCATACCTGCTCTGCCCTGACTGCAGTGCCCACCTGCGATCCTGGCTGCCACCTCCCGCCCCCAGCCCTGACCAAGTTGCCCACCTCACTGTCCCCAGCCCTGAAGGGGCCCCTTCTTTGCCTTTCATGGTCTGAGGGTCCCAAAGGGCAGGCTCTGGATGCTAAGAAAGGTCCTAGTGACCAGAGGAGGAAGGGTGGGCACTGCACACACGTGCTCTCACTCGGAAGCACGCGTACACAGCTTCTTTTTCATTTGCAGCACTGGGCATGGAACCCAAGGAGGACCTTGCACATTGAGCCGCAACCCCAAGCCTTTTTTTTTTTTTTTTTTTTTTGAGACAGGGTATCAAGTCAGTAAATTGTCCACACTGGGTTTAGTCTTGTGATCCCCCTGCCTCAGCCTCCAAGTGCTGGGATTACAGATGTGCATCACCACGCCCAGCTCACACTGGCTTCGACACAAGATGTGGAGGAGCCCTATGCTTTGGAATGCAGGGCCCGTGCCCAGCTCTGGCCTGGTGTCTCCGGCTCCCTCCAGAGCTGTCAGGACACAGGCCCCACACAGAGACCACCACCCAGCAGGGACCCTCAGCCTCCAGCCCCTTGGCCGCTGCAGAGCAGAAAGTCTCCTGCCTCTCACCACCTCACATCTGCTGGGTACTCAGGGCCCCAGGGCCTCTGCACCTGTGTGCTGGCCAGCTGGGCCAGCCTCTCCTGTGCCCCACTCACCCTCACTGTCCCCATGATGGGCTTCTGCCTCTGAGACTCCTACTGGCAGCCTGGAGTGCTGTGGCCCACCCAGCACACGGTACTCAAGTTCCCGGCACGCAGTAGGCACTCGGGGTTGCTGAGTCAAGGTTCTTAGGGGCATGGGCAATGGGGCCCCTCCCACAGGCCTTGCCCAGCTCATAGTAGCCCGGGGCTTCAGCTGCTGTGGACAAACCCATGCCAGCCCCTTAGAGCTCCTCAAAGACCACGGGGGCCCAGCCAGGTGGGTAGCAAGGCACAGCAGGTCGGAGTCAGGAAAGGACAGACACCTACCCCGACAGGCTGCGGGTTGCCCCAGCACCCTTCCTGCTGCCCTAACTAGGTCGCACGTCTGGTTCTGGCTGTTTGCACACTGAGCAGACTTCGCACTCCAAAGGCCCTAGGACTCTCACAGACTTTGCCACCGCTGGTCAGTGCCCCCAAGGCCTACCCTGGACTTGCTGTCCTCTCGGGGTCACAGGGGAGAGGCCCCTCACCTCCAAGGGCTATCCCCGATGTCTGGCAATATCATGGGCCAGTCAGCACTGTGTACCGGGAGGGTGGAGTCCAGAGGCTGGGCCCAGCTGGGGATCCAGCCTCGGCCTCAGGAAGCGAGAAGATGGACTCTGCACCTCCAGCTCTCCTGACCTCCCCAGGCCAGCCAGGGAGCTGCCTTCCCCCTCTGCCTCAGGAGCCCAGACACACTCACGGCTCAGACTCCACAGTCTCCTTTTCAGCCAGGTAGTTGTAGGGCACATAGCCCTCTGCCAGGACCTGGCCCAAGTCATCCAACAGGGCGGCCCACCACCACTGGTCCTCCTTCCTGGCCACGTGGAACAGGTCCCCCGCCTGGAAGCTCAGCTCTTCATCCGTCCGTGCCACAAAGTCCCAGAGGCCCACGTACTTGGGCCCCGAGTGGGTCTGGCCCCTGGACGCCATGGCAGTGCAGCAGCAGGATGGAGGTGTGGGCCACCTGTGGGCACCTGCACTGGGAGGGGCGGGCAGGGCTGTCCCTGATGAGCTGTCTCCACCCACTTCCTTGTGAGGAGGCAGGAGCTGGCCACACCCTGCACCCATGGACTCCGTCCTGCATGCCACCTGAGTCCACACAGCCAGGTGCTCACCTGCAAGCCACATGGCCATGCAGCTGGACTGGAGCCGGGAGGGAGGAGGAACAGCCCCCAGACGGAGGGCACGCACGGGTGAGCAGAACCCGAGCCCTGGGGTGTGCATGGGCACTGAGGGGAGCTGGGGGAAGGTGGTCAGGATGTGGGCCCACTGCAGGGTGCGCCCAGCACCACAGAGTGAGGGGAGCTGCCGTTCTCCCCTGGGCTGGTAGGTGTCATCCCTGCCCCCTACCCACTGACCAGTGTGGGGAGCCACTTCCCTGGGCAGCTACCCACCTACCAGGTGCTGCAGAACCCACCCTGGGGAGGGGACCGTGGGGGTAGGAGGGCCTTGGGGTGAGACCTGCGGGCCAAGGGTGGGCACACCCCGGCCAGGCTTTCATGTCTGCAGGTGGGGGTGCTGGTGACTCTGCCCAAGACGGGAGGATGTGGCTGTCCCCGTGTCCTGGAGAAACCACCCTAGAACAGCCTGCAGCTGCAGCCCTGGACAGCAAGGGGGACCACAGGGCCTGAGGGAAGACTGGCTGCAGGGCGCCCTCAGCAACCCCTCAGAAGCTGCCTCCCTTCCAGGACACAAGGTGGCGTCCGAAGACCACCAGCAGCCTGAGCAGCCTGGCCCTCCAGAGGCCCCTCGCCTCCCGGCACCGCTCCAGCCTCCCTCAGCCCTGGCTGCCAGCCACCCGCCTCCCCGCTGGTCCCCACAGCCCTGCCTGGGATCCCCATGTCAGCCCCTCCCCCCGAACCCAGACTTCCTCCCTCTCTCCAGGTGACTGCTTCCTCCTCCCTGCCCCTGCTGCGGTGTCCACCCATGATGTCCCACACAGGGGCCAGGGTGGGGGTGGGGTGGGGTGGGGGTGAGGGTGAGTGGCAGGGGAATCACACCTCAACTTTGTTCCTTTGAACTTTTCTTTTTTTTTTTTTTAATTTTTGGGGTGCTGGGGCCTGAACCTAGGGCCTCATGCAGGGTAGGCAAGTGCCCTACCTACCACTAAGATACATTCCCAGCTAAACTTTTCATTGAGAAGAGATATAATAGCACTGTCCATTATCATTTGAGAATGTCCTGGCCAGCCCAGTTCAGTCCCTGCCAGGCTGGGGGCGGGCGAGCACAGAGGTCAGAAGTCAGAGGTCAGAGGTGGGCTGTCTGCGGGAGGGAGCTAGATGGCTGGGTGCTGGGCAGATGGGCACTGGGCAGCTCAGGCCCCAGGAGTGCAGGGCAGCCCCACCTGCCCCCGCCTGCCCAGTGCCTGCAAGCCTAGCATCTCTGGTGCCAACTCTTCTAGGGGCCCTGGTGTGTCCCTGGGTGTAGACCTGTGTGGGTGCTTCTGTCTAAGCCACACCAGGAAGCAGGAAAGTCCCTGCCCTCCTGGAGATCCAGGAGGGCCAAACTAGTTCAGCCTGTGGCTGACAAGACATGCAGGAACGCGCCAGGGCCCACAGGTGAACCTGCCTCTGTGGCTGGGTGGCCTCCAGCCCTGCACATTGCTTCCTGGGGGCGCCCTTTCAGCTGCGGATGTGCCGCCCTCCCAGCAGCTCCGACAGCACTTGGAAGGGCTCCAGAGGAGCTCGGGCCTGCCCTACTCAGGGAAAGGCCTCACCTCTCTGATTCCTCCGCTCTGCCATCCCAGGACGGGTGAGGCAGAGGCGTGGCCCCAGAAGGCTCAGCTTAAACCACTCTGTCATCATCACACAGTGGGCTGGTGCTCCTGGCCTGACCTCTGAGCCCCATGGGTCCACTGCTGTCCCCAGAGGGAGCTGCAGCCCGGCTGGCACCACTTTCCTCAGGTGTTGCCGCTGGCCATGGCCTCCCATCCACGCCCCTGCCTGGGTCACTTTGCAGAAGCTCCCTTCCACGTCAGCCACAGCCAGGCCTGTGGTCAGTGACTCTGAACAAACTGGTGTCAGCACCAACCTTAAACTCCACTCCCTCTAGGGGACAATGGGCGGAGGCCAGTCTTCCTATTCCCACAGCCAGCCTCCCAGAGACAGCTGCTAGATGGCTCCTAGGAAGGTGGAGGCAGGGTCTTTGGGGGAACAAAGACCCCCACCCCCTATGTGCCTGTATTAAGCCACCTTCCCATTGCAGGACAAAACACCCACATACAGCTGTATGAATAAGCTCTCTGCTCTGTGAGCAGAATACCTGCCACTAAAAGCTTAGAGGAAGGAAGATTTATTTTGGTTCACAGTTTTAGTTTCTTTCCACGGCTGGCTTGCTTGAAGGTGAAAACATCATCGTGAAGGATACAGCAGAGACCTGCCTGCCTCAGGCACCCAGGCAGAGTCTGAGGGGGAGGGAAGAGCGGGGGACAGGAAACACCCTCCAGAGGTTCAGACCAAACCACGTGAACCACGGTTCACGCCCTGCACAGGGCTGTGCCACCTCTGAGGCTCTGGCCCACCTCCTTCCCAGGCCTTGGCCAGGCTGCTCTGGGGCACCCCCATGACCAACTTCCTGCCACACGCCCACGGCCTGACAGGCCACTGAGCTCTGAGCTCTGCAGTGGTGCATCCACAGAGGTGGTCGGTGCCCTCATGACCAGTCCCCTCTCTGACCCTCACCCCTGAGCCCTGCAGCATGCGGGGTCAAGCCCTCAACCCAGGAGCCACAAAAGTGCCACCTCAGTTCTTCCCCCATGTGGGGTAATCAAAGGCCAACTGCATGTTCCCAAAGGGTCACAGCCACAGTGTGGCCCATCTGGGGCTTTTTTTTTTTTTTTTTTTTTAACCAGAGAGCCACCTATTGCCTAGTTGCCAGCATGCCACTGCATCCTGCGTTCCCTGCCTCCAATCTGCTATCTGGGAAGCTCTGCCTCCCAACTGGTGCTCACCTTGAGAATTAACTTTGAAACGCAGGTCCTGCCCCGGAAATGCTGAATGCAGCTGCTGCCCACCCAGCCTGCCCTTCCTATGGCTTGACGGAGCCGCCTGCTTCAGTCCCAGCCTGCCAGCTCCAGCCAAATCCAGGCAGGCTCCTGCCTCTGCCAGGTCCTGAGACTGTGGCCATTCTGGCACCGTGGGCCCTGGATGGGATGTGCACCTTTGTGCACCAGGACAGACGCCCATCTGCTCCAGCTCCAGTTCTGGGTGGAGGGAGCTGGCGGGTGTGGCATGTCTGTGCCCACGGCTAAGTCGGAGTGTACTTGTTGAGTGCTGCCTGCACGCACCTGGGTTTGGCATGCACCTGGTTCAGTGCTGCCCCTGTGGGTGCACGGAACATGCTGCTGCGTCTGCTTGGGAGCCACAGCACAGGGTGACCTGTGGGAACTGGGCCTCTCCTCCGTGGCCCAGGGAGGGAGTCAGGGAAGCCCAGGCGGAGGCAGGCTCAGAAGAGGGGCAGCCAGCAGGCTGTCAGGGCCTCCTCCCCCAGAGCTTCCACGAGCTCCACTTCTGTGCTTTTTCCCTCTTTCTGAAGATGCCAGGAAGGCCGGCAACGCAGGGCTGAGGTCATCAGCCCCTCTGCTGTCCGGGTGGGTGTCTGGGCCAAGCATGGCACACACGTGGACACATGGGGACACACATGTGTAGCCATGTCAGCCCAGGAAGCCACAGCCAGAGGCACGAAGGATGCAGGGTTCCTGGCTGTGTGGCCTCCGCAGTGTGCTAATGGCAAGCACTGTCTTGGGAGATGCCCTGCCCAGAGCAGCAGTCCGCGCTCCCCTGGGCCCAGAGCTCCAGTCACATGAGGCCCAGGTGGAGGCGCTGGTGCACAGTGTCCAGCTTCTCCCACAGCACAGCAAAGGCAGGCCGCTCCTCGGGGCTGCCCTTCCAGCACTCCAGCATGAGTAGATACACTTCCACCGGGCAGGCGGCTGGGCGGGGCAGCCGGTACCCACGGCTGAGCTGCTGCAGGGTCTCATGGTTGCTCATCCCTAGGAAGGGTGCCAGTGAGAGAACCAGGGTCCTCTGGAGACCTCCCACACCCAGCCTCCTGCATCCCTAGCTGGCCTTGGCTGGACCCTTTCACCCAAGGGAGTAATCTTGGGGCCTGGAGTCCACAGCCAGGGCCAGCAACTCCCAGGGCAGGGTGTGTGCTCCCCCTCAGACTCAACTTCCCGGATGAGGCCTGTATGCCCTCAAGGAGCGCACCTTCGTAGGGACACTGGCCATAGGTGAAGACTTCATACAACAGGACGCCAAAGGACCAGACGTCAGACTTCTGTGAGAAGATGCGGTAATTGGCCGCCTCAGGTGCTGTCCACTTGACAGGGATCTTGGAGCTGCTGCTTGGGGAGTAGATGTCATCCTGTGGACAGGGGAGGTTGGCAGTGGGCAGACAATGAGGTCCCTCCCTCCCACAGCTCAGAAGACTGGACCGTCCCCCACCGACCTTTAGTAGCCGGGCCAGGCCAAAGTCAGCCACCTTGCAGGTGAGGTCATCGCCCACAAGCACATTCCTGGCAGCCAGGTCCCGGTGGACGACGCGCTGCTCCTCCAAGTAGCTCATGCCCTCAGCCACCTGGCAGGCGAAGCTCAGCAGGACAGGCAGGCTCAGTCCCTGGCCCTCGGGGCCTGCAGGGGGAGAGGGCTCAGAGGCCAAGGGCCAGAGGGCCAGGCTCAGGAAGGCACAGGGCTAAGGTCAGTGAGGTGGGTGCTGCACGGGCAGCTCAGCCCCTCTCGGGCTCAGTCTGCTCTAGGCTGGAGTGCGGCTGGCATGCTAGGGAGGCCACAGCTGCAGTGAGCACAGCGGGAAAAGGGCGTCTCTGTGCCCAACTCCACCACAAGCACCCAGTGCAACCTGCTTCCTGGCCGCCAGCTCACACCCCGAGGGAGACCAGGGGCAGAGAAGGACCAGAGAAGGGCTGGGCATCCTGAGGCTGGCTAGCTCCACAGTCCCATTACACAGAGGCTGGTCACCCAAATGGGACCTATCCCTTCCCCCACCTGGACTCTGCCTCAGCCCTGGAACCATAAGGCTCTGACTGCAGCAAAGCCCAGGACTGGCCTAGACCCCAGATCCCAGCCCTTGTTGGCTGGAGGTCTGGCAGGGGCAAGTATGTGTAGCCTGGGCCACATGTCATGTAAACAGGCCCTGAGACACCTCCAGGCCCTGACGGGCGGCTGCTGTCCTCCCTGGGCCACTGCAGGGCAGGGGGTACTCACTGCCCAGGTAAGCCTGCAGGCTGCCCTTGCGCATGAGCTCAGTGACGATGTACACAGGCTCCCCCACGGAGCACACCGCGTGCAGCCGGATGAGCCGCTGGTGCCGCAGGCTCTTCAGAGCCTCAATCTCCTTGGTGAGGTCGGCCAGCTTCATGTCAGCTGCAGGAGAGGACTCTGCTCCAGGACTGCCCTTGGAGTTCCCGAGGTCAGAGGGCGGTGGGTGCTGGGCCGAGGCCGGCTGGAGGACTTGGGCAGGGAAAGCCTCACCTGACTTGACGACCTTGACTGCCACAGGCACGGAGCCCAGCCACAGGCCTTCCCACACCTCCCCAAAGTAGCCTTGGCCCAGCTTTCTCCGAAGGACAAATTCCGAGCGTGGCCGCTCCCACTTGTCCTGCACCAGGGGCTTCTGTGGGGAGGACGGGTTCAGTGCCCTGCCTGCTGCTCCCCTGGCAGAGTGAGCGGGCTGGGCAGAGCGGACGTCCAGCAGGGCCCTGCCCCCATCTGTCCCAGGCAGGGCCCAGCAGCAGACCTCGGCACCTCTGCCCCAGCACACCTGGCCCAGGCTGGGATAAGGGGAGGCTGGGGCTGGGGATATAGCTCAGTGGCACAGCACCTGCCTGGCAAGCACAGGTCCTGAGTTCAATTCCCGGTACCAAAAATACATAAAGGGGAGGCCAGCACCGCCATCTGGGGGGCCGGATCCAGAGCTGTGGGAGCTAATTGCTTCGGGACCTAAGTGGTGCCTCTGCCTGAGCCGGATGTCCGTCCACAAGTACTCATTACCGCCACTGGCTCGGCTGGTATTATGAGACCAGAGAAACCAGACGGCTGCCCTGGCCCCCTCACCGGTTTGTTGAGGACAGTCCCAGAGATTGGGACGCATCAGGGATCAGCATCGCCTCCCACAGTTTCCGCCCTCGAGGCCTCCGGCAGCTGTGGGTGCCGCCCCCAGGCCGGCTTCTGCCTCCTCCTGCTACCCTGGAGCTGGACACACCCTGTAGCACCTCCCAACACACAGACTACGCACACACACACACACACACACACACACACACACACCATCCTTCCTCTGTCAGTTGCAGAGGGATAAAACTCATGCAGGGAGCTGAGGTGACCCAACAGAGTATGCAGGACGCAAGCTAGGGCTGGGCCCCAGAGCTGGCTGAGTGACTGAGACGGGGTCCTGGTAGCCCACCTGGGACCTGCAGGGCTGCAGCAGGGGGCTCTGGATCTGCTTCCAGTTGGCTTTGTAGTAGGTGAGCAGTGCCTCCAGGCTGGGGAAGAGCTGGCCCTCCTGCAGGTAGAGGCTGCCACTGGGCGCTGTGCAAATGCGGTAGTGGCAGACTTTGGCCTGGGCTCGGACTGTGGGAGCAGAGATGGACACTGTGCCTCAGGGGCAGGCTGCACAGACACCACCAGCCTGACCTCCCAGGTGGCCTGGCTCTGACAGGTTGCAGGATCCCTGAGATGGCCAGTGTGGTGTGCAGCATGGGGTATGGGCGGGGCAGGCCAGGGCAGAGAGGAGCAGAGAGGGGCCCTGGGGCACACAGTGAGTGCTTAATAGATTCTTGTTGAATGAATGAGTTTGTGCATAAGTGAGCAAGGGAGGAGGAAAGAGAAAGGAAGAAGGGAGGGGAAGGGAGGGGAAGGGAGGGGAAGGGAGGGGAAGGAAGGGAGGGGAAGGGAGGGCAGGACAAGCAGGTGGGGTGACCAGCGTGTCTGCCAGGCATGAGTAAGGGGCCATATTGACGGGGTGTCGGCCCTGGTGGGGGCTAAGCAAGTGCCCCCTGGAGGGGACAGTCTCAGCCCAAGTACCTGAGAGGGAGTAGCCCCCGAGGCTGCTCTCGCTGGGCCGGATAAGGAAGGCCCCTGGCGCATTGGCAGGGGACAAGAGCAGCTGCTGGGCCTGGGTCCGGCTGATGCCACTAAAGAACCAGCTGAAAGCAGGAGGCATATGGTCACTGCACAAGCCCAGCCCCGTGGGACCCTGGCCCAGCCTGGGCCCCAGCCGTCTTGCCATCTCTCAGGGAAGCAGAGCTAGTTCCCAGGTTGGCATCTCAGGTCCCAGTGCTGTCCTCAAGGCCCCTCAGGGGCCACTAAGACCAGCACAGAGCTGACCCAGCCACCACCAGGTGACCTGAACGCTGCTCTCTGCAGGCGAGCCTGTCTACTCACCTGGGCCATGGGCAGTCTGTGAGCCCTGCTGCAAATGACCAGGCTTGTGAGGCCCCAGCCCCAGCCACGGGCTAACAGTTACGCTGAATCCATCAAATCTGAAACTTTTCTAACCCCTGCAGAGGGTCCACAGGGAAATAGGGTCCACCAACAAACTGCTCCAGGAGCACTGCTGGGCTGCTGATATGGCCAGGCAAGATGTGGGTGCTGCCTGGCCGGGCAGGGTCCATCTGCCTTGTGAAGCTGGTGAGATGGAAGCCCCTGGAAGCCACTGGATCCAGGCTGGCCAGGAGGTCGGGGTGCCTCCAGCAGGGGGTTTGGGGAAGGAAGTGCTCTGAGGGAAGGCTCAAAGCATCTGCACCCCTCTGAAGGGCCAAGCGTACTGCCTTGCAGGTGGCTCGCCGTGATTGTATAGTGGTTCGTACTCTGCGCTGTGAAGGGCCAGGTGGGGGTAGGCCAGACCTGAGCTCCCTGGCCTCATCCACAGAGATGCTCCCTCCTGAGCTGGGGACCTCCCTCCCCCTAGGGAGACAGCGGCTCCTAGGTACCCACTCCCCAGACATCCAGACATGAGGAGCCCCGCACCTGCTCTCTCTACCCAGATGGACCACCCATTTAGGTCACCAAATGTGGCTCACTCATACCTAAAAGCCAGAGACATTCTTGGGGGAAGACAAAGTCAGTTCCCATGCCACCCCATTGCGTGTGTCTCTGCTGCCCAAGGCCCAGGCGAGGCTCCACACCTAGCCCAGCTCCTTACCCCGAGCCCCTCACTTCTGGGACCTTGCAGGGAGTGAGGCACCAGCCCCACCCAGGGTACCACAGCCATGCAGGACAGCATGGTGAGCAAACCCCTAATCCACCCAAATGCGGGGACACTGTAAGCAGCACAGACACAATTTAGGGACAGGGCGAGGAAGGGCCCTGGAGGACTCGCAGTGTGACACAGAGCAGTGCATTCAGCAGAGGCCAGGGGGAGCGGTGGTGTGGTCAGGGGGCTGGCCTTGGGTGGGAGGTGTGGACACAGCTGGAGACAGGGATAGGGAGGAAGGGGTGGACAGAGGCCCAGGCCTGAGAAAGGGGAAGTTGCATCAGCAAGCAGACTGGAGAGAGGAGTGTCAAGTATATGGCTGGACCCTGGTGGGCATGTGCCCCTGAGGCCTGGCTGGCCAGCAGCCTTGGCTAAGCAAGCTCATTTAAGGAGCTGGAGACATAGGCCTGTGAGGATGTCTGCCCTCCGCTGGGCACCTCCTGCAGCCAGAGCCCCTGCCTTCTGGCCCACCGTCAGGGTGTGGTAAGGGAAGGGCCTCCAGTGCAGTTTCCTCCAACACCCCAGCTGTTCCCTGGACCCCACATCATGTCCTGTGAGGGACACAGCTGGACTCCTGTGCGTTTCCTGAGTTGTAGATGTGTCTTGGGGTCTCTGCTTGGGGTGTGGGGCCCGGGGCTGCTTTGTGGCTGCTGCTCCGGAAGAAGCAGCTCTTTCATCTCCAGGCCCAGGAAGTCATTAAGTTTCCCCATGGCAGCCCTGCCTGACCCCCGCCTGCCCTGCCTTTCTGCCAACCCAGCAGCCTCCCGAGCCATGCAGGCTCTGCTTCCACAGCTGCGCGGCTGTGGGCCCCTCCCCACAATGACAGCTGCCAGCAGGTGTGGTGCAAAGGCCTGAAGCCCCTCGAAATGCTTCCTGCGACTGCAGCCTCACCTGTAACAGGAAAGCCCCTGGCATACAGGAGCACCATGGCCCCCAAGGCCCTGGAGGTGGCTCTGAGGATGCTCAGATCTGAGATGCTCTGCAGAGGACAGGCCCAGGGCTCAGGCCCAGTGGGTGCCAGAGCAAGGGCAGTCCCCAGGGCAGCCTACCCAACTTGGCTGGACCTGCTACCCACCAGCTTCCAACCTGCCCCTGATCCCTGGCCCTTCCTGAAGGAGGCTCCTGAGGAAGGACTTGCCCCTCCTGACAGTGGGATCGCAGTGGCCACACTATCTGGGCTGAAAGGCAAGCAGGGGCCGTATCCCAGGATTTGGTCAAACGGTTGAGGCCTCTGCACTGGGTCCACCGCACAGCGGGGCCCAGCTTGGGGCTGGCACGCAGGAGTTCTCGGCCCTTCCTGTACCCCGGAGCTATGCAGCCTGGCACCTCCAAGGACACATCTAGGGGAGCACCCGGCCCCAGAGCACAGGCTGTTACTGTGCAGTCCGGGCATCCACACAAGCCACTTGCTGCCAGTGGACCCTGCGGCCCTGGGGACCTAGAGTGCTCTGGGGGAAAAGGTGGGCTCTCTCCACCTGTGCCCATGTACCTGGACAAGCCATCTGCTCCACCCCTGAACCAGTCTGGGGAGGCTTGGTGAGTGTGAACTCTGCTCTGGCCTGGTTTAATGCCCTGCCCAGCCCTAGGGGCCCTGCACAGCCCCATGAGCAGTAAGCCCCTGCCAGGAGCTTGAGGGTAGCATGTGTCCATCTTACCTGGCACCTCCCAGCCCTGCCCTTCCAGCAGGAACTGCCCAGTGAGCACCCCGAACTGAATCCTGATACAAACGCAACACCCCGAAGCTAAGCCCTGCGGGTGATTCACCCGGACCTGCCTTACTCCCCCGCTGCCCCGCTGGGGCGGGCTCTGCGCAGGTACTCACGGTTGGTCTGCAGGCGTCTCCGGGGCAGCCTTGGCCACGTAGGTGATGGGCACCAGCCCAGCGCTGGGCGGGCCCGAGAGCCGGCATGCGAAGATGTAGTCGCCCTCCTCCTTGAGGGCGTAGAGCCGGTCCCCGCGGCTGACGCTCAGCTCGGCGGCGCAGCGCGCGGTGAAGTCGTAGAGCGCGCGGAAGAGCCGGGCGCGCGGCGCCTGCGGGCTGCGGGGCT